ATTAAGCCTATACCCTCTCTCATTTTTCGCGAACACTCCCTTTAAAAGCAAGAAATGCGTAAGAAAATTTTGCAGAGAAACTACAAAGCAAAATTAACAATTTATAGAATCAAAAACATGGATATATCTAATTCATACAAGATTAAAGCTGTTTAGAGTTCCGTTGTAAATCGACATTGCTATATTTACATTGAGGGTCACTGGAAATTACGCTTACAATCCTTTAACGCAGTGTAAACAAAGAGAATAGAATATATATTAGAGTGGAATTTAGACAATCCCTCGGTAAGAATTTTGTCAGTCCCTTTCAGCCTGAAAGGGAGTTCAAAGTGTACAAATCATGTAAATGTTCACAAATTATATGCAGTAGACTACATTAATACAGTATGTTCCCTAGACTATCCATTTCAATTTCGAATTTTTTAAAGCTGTTAAATAAACTTTATAAAATGAATTAGGTGAATAAAAAACATCATTTGATTTATAGTTTTAACAGAAAATCATCGTTTGTAAAGTGGAAAGGCATAGAATCTATGTGAAATGATCATTGGTCAATTATGAAACCAGTCTATTTCATAATTTGGTTTTCTTTCAATATTAATTTTAGATTTTCTCTAAAATGATGTTCCAGGGCCCAAAAGGTTATATAGCACAAATATGTGAAGTACACCTGCAGTATGGAAACAGTACAACAAAATGGCCGTTTTACACTTTTTTCTAGTAAATTCCACTCTAATATATATTCTATTCTCTTTGAGTGTAAAGGTTATGACATCAGCTTTTTTGTAGCAAAATCATAAAACTGAATTTGTCTAATAAAGACTAAAGAGTCACACAATTTTCAGTGTTTAGGAATCTTCAAGCATATCGTTAAGTCTAAAACTTTGTGTTTAAAAGTAATTTGTCGTTAAAAATGTTCGAACATTAATTCATATATAATAAGTTTATAGATATGCTTTAAAAACAATGCGCTATATAATTCGCAATTTTTGTATTCCATTCTTATATAAAGGTTTCCTTGGGCCTTAATTGCTCCCTAACACCAACGGTCTAAACTTTGGCTTTCCTTACACAAGGAAACTGTTATTGATACAAAATCACAATTTTAGCTTTATTTTAGCAGGAAATCATCCTTTATTTCAATTACACATTGTAAGAAATTTGGCAAATTTTGAAAATTGTTTATTCATTTGCTTTTCTTATACTCTGGCAAATTTTGACCCTGAGAGAAAATATGTGCAAAAAAAAGAAGCAAAAACAATCCAAAAACAATCATGTTTTAAAGATCGATGTTGGATCGTTTTTCCATTTTTTAATTAAAAATATTTTAAAGCTTAATAAGAGAAAACTTTAACAAAATAAAGTTTAAAAACTTTGAAGTTTTATTAAAAAGTTTTTATTTGAACGCACCAAAACTATTTACTACTCTTCCTTCACATGATTTAACAGCATGATAGTCAATATCAATTTACAAATTATTATTTTATTGGAGAACTGGAGTTTAAATGTTAATTACTGCATTTCCAATGATTTCATATACAAGTATACATGTTACGATTTTTAACAGTCTGCAATGAACAATGAATACGAAAACAAAATAAAACTTTGTATTTATCATTATAAGAATTTTCATTACAAAGTCGTCATCCTATTCCATAGTTTTAAGGGTCACGGTGTAACATTATACGCAGAATTAAAAATTGAAATTTCTATGAATGAATATAGATTTTTTAAAATCTAATTTTACTTTTAGGAAAATAAAAAGTTTTAGTTGGCTTCCTAATACAGACGTTAAAGCCCTAGCGTTTATTGTCCATGGGTAAGTTTTTTTTGTTTATATTAAAAGCCTTTTTAAACTTTTTAAACTAAGATTTCACATTTTTCCCTTTGTTTTCATTATTAGCAATAAAAAAATCGCGGATTTTTAATATTCTTCGCGGATTTTCTAAAATTTTACGAAATTCTAAAATTTTGGAGACAGCTTTTTGTATTTCGAGCATCCATAAACCTTCCCTGGGGTCATTCGGGGTCTTTCACACATCTTGGGCCCGGTACGTTGGTTGAGCCGTTTTGACGTTTATTGAATACAACGGGCTGAAAGATAGAGAAGCAAAGTATACATAAAACCTCAATTTTGGAACTTGTAGAAAAACAACTAAGTCTGTCTTAGAATGAGACTGTAAAGACGACTTTAAACTTTCAATATTTGAGGATTCCAAGGTTAAGATAATTCTCCAGGCTCGGATAAACTCTTGAAATGGCTGATCAAATTAAATATAAATCATAAATATGAAACAGATAGTATAAATTTCGTACAATCGTCTCTGAAGTCTCATCATTGTGGATAATCCTGCGCAACCACTTTATCTATAGGTATGGGGAGAGGCTGACCCCCTACTATGATAGTCTGTGTGAGGCTGGGATGCGGGAGGGAGTTCACTGTTTTGGACATGATCATGTCGGACATGGAGAGAGCGAGGGAGAGAGAGTTCAGGTTAAAAATTCTCGAATTTTCGTGTTCAACGCATTTAACAACTAATTTTACATTTTTTTTTAAACCCACAGTAAAGTTTCATTTAGATGCTTTTCTGTAATTTAAAAAAAAATAAATTCAGGTCTTTGATTTTAAAAACATTGTAAGCTTTTTTTTGTGATAAAAGTCAAATATTAAGCTCACGAATTGATTTTGTAGATTTTATCATTTTCAAACTGTGTTTATGTTTAGTTACTAGTTATAGAGAGGAAGATAAGCTCAACTGTTAATTGTATGTAGTAAATATATTTTATTGAGATTTTTTGTGTTTCCCATTTTTCTTTCAGGTTGATTCCGAATCTGAATATGTGACCCCTGTGCTCGATCATTGCCGCAAAATAAAGGAGCAATATCCCTCAAAACCCCTTTATTTAGTAGGTAAACCCTTAAAACCCCCCTGTATTTAGTAGGTTTACCTTTAAAAACCCTGGATTTAGTAGGTAAACCCTTAAAACCCCCTTGTATTTAGTAGGTTTACCTTAAAACCCCCTGGATTTAGTAGGTAAACTCTCAAAACTCCTGTATCTAGTATTACCCTTAAAGGGACCGTTCACTTGTTTGGGTAATTTCAGGGTAAACTAAACAGCCTAAGCGCTATTCATTGGTAATAGTCTTACTTTTCAAAGACATCTGTGGCCGGAGAAAAAGCCGATTTTTCGTTCAGAATTTGAGCGCAAAGGGACGGTCCCTCTCTATAGACANCTACTAATTTTACTTTTATCTGTTGCGTCTATAAAGAGAAAGTTGTTTAAAACGACTTTTACTGATTTACGTATCATCCACCCAAATTGAGAAAATTGCAATCCACGACTCGGATCGTAAAAAAATCAATCTAATATCAAACAAATCATTTAGATATAACAACCTTTAGCCATCGATTATTTTTCGACGCATTTGCATATAGTTGATATTTCATAATATGTTGTATTTGTTTTACATACAAGGTACTTAAAACGCCGATTAGTTTGTCCGCCGGGTGTCTCTGCTCTTGATGCTCTTAATGAGTCCATGTAGCAGAGACACCTAGCGGAAAAAAATTGTTGTTTTATGTGCATTGTATACAAAAGAAGTAAAACATATTATGAAAACTTAACTATATACAAATGTGGCGAAAAATATTCGATGACGTTAGGTTGTAATATCTGAATGATTTTTTTGAAATTAAATTGATTTTTTACGATCCGAGTCGTGGATTGCAACTTTCTCAATTTGGGTGGATGCTTCATTACTCAGCATAAGTCACTATTAACAATTTTCTCCTTATAGACGCAACAGATAGAATTAAGATTAGTAGCGATCAAAAGTGCTTATTGTTCGCCTTACGCCTATACCCCCATTCATTTTTCGCGAACACTCCCTTTAAATGTTTGTTATACAGAAACTAGTTTATATATTATACACAACTATTGCTTTATCTTGGGGGGACAAGCTGTGTAATTGTTGTGTCTCGTGTTCATTGGACTGTTTAATATCATAACTTAAGTCTTTCAGTCGTCTTCCTATTCCACAGTTTTATGGGTCTTACTTGGTGTGTTTTCTAACGTTTTTAAACCATGAGTTTTTTAGGGCATTCTATGGGAGGCTTAATAGCTGTCTGCACTGCCCTTGAAGATGGTAAACAGGTATTTTTTTTTACAAATTAAAGTTTTATCAAAAAAATTGTCATCATGTTATTTATGTTTATTTCTATTCTAGTTTTTATTTGAATCTCGAATAAAACTCCCAACATCATATTGGATTGTGTCTTGTGTATATCTAAAAGGGTTTATAGAAAAAGCTGAAGTTTATAGAAAATTAATCATTGGATCATACAGATGTCGACCTTTATATCAATACAATGAAGACGACTATTCTAAATTTAAAATTCAGTGATGGTGATGGACCAAACCTCTGTAGAGTAAAAAAGTAGATGTTAGTTCCACATTTATTGAAAATATATTTCGGTCTGGGTTGACCCTCGTCAGTTCTTGAGATTGTTTCTTCACCAAGATTAAAAACAAACGACTATTCTATTTGAGTTTTGATTTCAAAAAACTTTTTTTTAAAAAACAAAGTAACAAGTTGATAAAGGGAATCTTTTCAAAAGTAGTCTTAAATTTTTTCTTTCCAGGTTAGTATTAAATATAAACCCTGGTAACCATAGATGTTACAGAAGGGGAAGGAGCTGATCACCAAAAACCCCTCTGAATACGCCTCTGCTTAGTCGTTATGCTTGGAAATTATGGAAGACGATATAAAAAAAATATTTCTATTTAAGGAAGATCCAATGGTGGCAGGTTTGGTTCTGGTTGGACCCCTCATAGAACCTGATCCTACGGTCGCCACCCCTCTCAAGGTTAAAATATGTGAGGGGTTGGGGATCCCCTCCCCCCTTCCATCTCTACTGCATGCCAACTTTTACTTCTTAGTAAACAACATTATTACATATGCACTATGCAAGGGTTCCAGTGGAATGTAAAAAATCTGTATTTGCGCCCCCTAGGGATTTTCGATGATTTGGGGAAAAAAACATTTAAAAATTAGACATTAATCAAAAGGCAAATTTTATCATTCTTGTTGATACATATAATATTGTTCTGAAAAGGGGGGGGGGTAAGAAAAATTATTTTTTACTCAACCGCGTCAACATCTCTTTTTTGCACATTATAAAATCTTTTAATCTTGGAAAGAAAAGAACCAAAATAATTTTGATTTCTTCAAATTCGGAGTTTTTACATTAACCTGATTTTTAATTGATAACAAATTATGCGCCATTATATTGCAGTGTTGGCGCGCAAATGTCTCCCCATTTTTTGGGTGAAATTGTGCAATGTTTACGCTTGCTTCCGCAACACTTATTTTGGTGCAAAATGTGTTTCCGCTGAAAACTCTAATTATATCTTTTTTTAAATTACAATTTGATTTTAATTCTAACTTAATTCCTAGTTTTCTTTTTTGTTTGAAGTGTGGACACCTGATGTAATTCTAAGGGACCATTCAATCTCCAATAGAATATTACATGCCGGATTCACAACGATACTCTGTATACCTTTATCTGAAATCTGAGCAACATTAAGGAAATATTGTAGTTTGTTTTAAAAAATAATTTATGAAAATTTTCGTTTGTTCCGATATTTATTTTGAAAAGAACCCAAATTAAAAATGATCAATTTCTGGATATTTCTGGATAGCTCCATCAATTTCTGGATATTTCTGGATAGCTCCATCAATTTCTGGATAGCTCTCAATCATTACTGCTAAGACAAATGTTGAAAGAATACCAATATGAATATGGCAGGGTGTTTCTTTAAATAGATATCACTTGTTTTTACGTCGGAAATATTTTTAGAGATTTCTGGCTAGAATGTTGAGTAACGTTCTGCCCGGTTTTATGCTGGGAGAGATAGCTAAAAGTGGTCTCACTTCTGATAAGGTAAGTGCCACTTTAAAGTGACTGTATGCGTAATTGCATGCAACGGTCCTCTTTAAACCAAAGAATATTGTTGAAGATATTGTCGTTTTTCTTCGTTTCAAAACGTTAAACTACGATAATTCCTGTATGCCTTCATACTTGATCAGACAAAGATTTGAAGGGTACTATTGTGAATCGAATATGCCAGCCTAAAGATAGAATTTCCCTGGAAATCACGTATTTTTAACATTTCTAGCATTATTCTCGTTATATATGATTCATCTCAATTTTTTCCAATTTTCCATTTTTTCCATATTTTCCATTATTTCCTTTTTCTCAGTTTTCTCGATTTGATTTTTTTTATTGTGTTCAGGACTGGATTGAGATTATAGAAAAAGACAAGCTCAGATGGCACGGAAAATTTAAAGCGCGACATAGCCATGTTCTTCTCAACAAGTAAATGTTATTGGTTTAGGAATTATTGAAATGTGTTTAAATATATGCAATGAGACCCTAAACATACGTGGAACATTAAAGGGACTGTGAGACTCAAATTGCTATTAAGATAGTCCAGGAGAACATAAAACAGTCTAATAATATCAATTGGTTTTAAAGCTTTATACTGCCACTGGTTAAACTGCATTTTAAAATCATCAGTTGGCCATCCAACTCTCGTAATGTCGTCTTCCTATTTAAAAGTTTCGTGGGTCTCACTGATTATAACAAATTCATAGACACTGTACAGAAGTTTTACACTGCTTGAATCTGATCTTTATTAATCTGCAGATTAATTGAATCTTTTTTTATATCCCGCGGCCTGATAACCGTACCCAGTCAGTAGTTTAGGGGAACTTCGATCAGGGAAGATAGGAATAGTTGAGTTGAAGAGATTAAAGCATTTATGCTCAAATTAAGAGTGCCCATAGTGGATATCAATTTCCCAGTTCAGAGCTGTATTGTTGAAAACAAAAAATATTGGTAGATAATTTTAAAAATAATGGGGTAAGAACGCCTTTAGAAATATGGAGTAAGACAGCAAAATTTAAGTAATTTTATGTGATGATGATGAGGATGATGATGATGAATATGATTGATGATAATGATGATGATGATGATGATGATGATGAATAGGATGGAAGAGTTGAAGAGTGAAATGGAAAATATTAAAATTCCTCTTTTTATTCTTCACGGGGAGAAAGACACCATCTGTGCAATATCCGGTTCAAGGTAAACAATAAAATCAAAAAAGAAAAAATAACATTTTTTGCGCTTTTCATGACATTAAAAAAAATCTGTTTCACATTGCATATCCAGTATGTATGAATTTTGAGTACATTGAAAGAGTTTTCATATTATCGTTTTCCAAGTCTGTTTATGATTTAATGAATCTTATGACGCAAATTAAAAGAATTCAGCAGCTGCTAGTTTAAGATTTTAGGGAGTATTTCATTATTGAAATTAACAGGTTAGCTGGCAACTTATTGATAAACAACATTTCATAAAACTAAATGTTTACTTAACTGAAATTTCAGGTTACTATATGAGTCTGTTACTATTTCAGGTTACTATAATCTGTCACTATTTCAGGATACTATAGGAGTCTGTTACTTTTTCAGGATACTAAATGAGCCTGTTACTATTTCAGGTTACCATAATCTGTTACTTTTTCAGGATACTATATGAGTCTGTTACTATTTCAGGTTACTATATGAGTCTGTTACTATTTCAGGTTACTATATGAGTCTGTTACTATTTCATGTTAATATATGAGTCTGTTACTATTTCAGGTTA